AGATCAGAAGAATATCCAAGAGGGCTGAATGTTAATTCAGCCTGTAGATTTTTGACATGATCTAGTACCTAACTTGCAGACGTATTGTAAGTGCTTTGTACAGTCATGGCCTTGTCAGTATTTGTAGCCTAGAGACAAGAAGAGGTGAAATGAGTGGCATGTATAAAACTGTTAAGCTGATAGAGGCATCACAGGCAGGTCCTAAGTCCCAACCTTTTTTTTAAAAATAAGATTCCTGCTTCAAGGAAAAGCTGTTAAGTGAAAAGAGAGCTGAGAGAGGCCAGGAAAGGGCTAATGATTCTTGAATAAGGAAATTTGTCCTATATTTAAAGGTCAATATAGGAAACTAGTTTTGGGGAGATGGATAGATGGAAACATTTCTGAAAAAGGAAGCTTGCTTCATTTTTCCTGATCTATAGAAAACAGTCCCACATAACCCAGAACCAGATGGTGCACCATTCTTCCAGGCAACATATTCCATCAATCTATGCCAATATAATCCCATCCATTTGGATTTTGACCCTATCACAACAGGACAGAATGAGCACCCGAGTCTCATTTGCCCAAGGGATACTTTGGGCATCATCTTCACTGAAATCCCTGAGTGACACCCAGCATCAGAGAATCTGTTTGGCAATTTGTGGAGGCGATCTAAGGAGGAACTCTTGAAATTCGCTCTAAAGCCTTGCTGTAGAGACTAAGAGTCAAAATCACCAATACCTGTCAGATTAGCAATGACTGTTTAGCACATGTGGTGCAATACAGGCTTTGTACCTCTGGAGCTCAAAGAACATGTCACGGTCACAGTCACAGTCCTCCCGTTGTTCATCGATTTGTTCGAGCGGGCCCAGTAACTCTCCATCGTGAGACTTGTTGTTACTGTGTTTGGCATATTGAATACGTCACGGGTAGCTTGCCAGGCTCTGCCATGCGGGCGAGATACTCTCAGTAGCTTGCCGGGCTCTCCGAGGGGGTGGAGGAATCAAACTTGGGTTGGCCATGTTGGCTGCGTGCAAGGCAAATGCCCTACCTCTGTGCTATCGCTCCAGCCCAAAGAACATGCAGATTCTGTAAAGGTCAATGCAATTACCCTTCATTTATCAACATCTCAGTACATCTTAGACATCTGGCAACAGTGCGTAACTGACCCAAAAAGTCTTTAATTCACATTGTGTGAAACTGAGAAACACGGATTGAGGTATTGATAGTAGGGAAAGATAAGGGGACTTCACAGAATTCAGATCTTTAAAAGGGTTCTGGGTTTTATTATCCAGGAGACTTCTGGATTCTTTGAGTTCCCTGGCTTGCCTGGTGTAATTATTGGGCAGGTTCAGGAGACACAATAACCAGAATTGCAAATGTATCAATAAGTTATCTGAGTACAGAAGATGTAGCCTCACCTCTGTGTAGATATGGAGGCCAATCCAGACAAGAGGAGCTTCCATATTACTCTCATTGATGAGGGTGGCCACAAAGTTGGCCTCAGGCCTAGTGACACAGACAAAATTTCCATAGGGACGTTTTTGGCAATCCAACTATGGGAGAAAGTAAGAGGAGAAACATGGAGAACAATGGGAATTTGTAAGTGGATGGAGAGAAGCAAGAGTATGTGTACTGTAAATTGTGCTTACCATTCTACCTAGTCTCTTCCAATAGAATGGAGGTTCTCCTGAACTCCATTGTCTACAGACCCCCACCTATAAAGTGCTTCCCCCAAACACATCCCAGTTGGAAATACAGTTACTCACAGCCGCATATGGCCAGGATTTTGGTGACATATGAAATGCATAGCAGCAATTGTTATAAGCAAATGAGTGTTGGAGACACCTGATTCATGGAGACAGCTCTTCATTCTACAGATATTCCCCTGACACAGAAATATATAAAACAATGATGTAGTGAAAAGAATAGGTATTTTGTCAGAAAAGGCACCTAGAGGGGTTTAGAATAGTGAACAATGACAATCTCTCAGCATTTCCAACATATTCAAAATGCCTTCAAGTGCAAACAATACATGAGGAATTGTCTATTCCACTATTTAATTTGGATTTTATAAAATGCATAAATTGCGCTCCTCAATTTGGAGTATTTCACGGCACTGGGCCGGATATGGGAAAGGTAAGCCCAGCTTACCTTTCAGCTGGGCTTGGAGCACCAGGCAGGAGATCACCAGTCAAGCAACAGTGGCCATGGGAGACAGCATCTTGTCTCACTGGAGGAGGATCTCAGAAGCAGGAATGGAATTTGGGTCAGGCAGAGGGCTAGCAGAGAAGCGACTGTTCCATCTCCCTGGTTTTCTTTTGGTCTAATTCCCAGATGATTGATAGCTTTGATATCCTGAATATTCTACCCAGGAGGCCTCTCAGAGTTATCACTGCTGAGCCTAACAGCCTTGTGCCCTCTCAGGTGTGGAAATCTTTCCCCTCCTCCCTCTAGCGTTTTGCATGACTTCCCACTTACCTTTCTCACAGGAATCTTTGATGGTTTGTCAGGTCAGGAAGGGTCAGCCTTTTAAAAGATTTTCTGAGAAAGGGATACTGCAATGAATAATGCAAAGTTGCACCTTGAGGGGCTTGCTGGGAAAGACTAGGCTGGGATTCCAGGAGGTTGCTGAAATATGGAGGGGTCTTACTAGTTGTGGTGGGAATTGCCACAGCTGTGGCAATTCAGACACCAGATAAATGTCTTCTCAGGACTACAAATACCTATTCATTAATCTTTTCACTATGACTAAATGGAATAGAGTTTTAGCACTATTTTCCTTGTGGTTTCTTTATTTCTTCTCTCCTTTGTATAATATTTTCAAAGTGTCATGTTATATATGGTTAGAAAGTTTCATTTTCAGAAAAATTCCATTCAGAAATTTCATGTCAATCAGAAAAAAATTCCCTTTATTTATAAGCAATCTATCAGGAATTTATCATTATAACAGTATATACATATATAATTTTTACGCATAAGTATATTTATAATTTCATATAAAATGTCAGTGGAAAAGTGAACAAAAATAATGATACATTTCCATACTCAAACACAGGTTTAATTAGTAATACATTTTAATCTCTCAATATAACCTTATAAACAAGTTTTCAATAAAATGATTTAAAAAAAACATGAATCTTTGATTTGATAGATGTTTTTAACTTATAGTGAAGTAAAAAGGAAATTTTAAAAAGAAACCAAGTAATCAGAAGTCAAGATATATTGTTCTTATATTATGCATAGCCTTAAGGAGATTGATATATAGAAGAATATATCAACACAATGATGGGTCTCATTCTCCTAACCCTGAAAAAGCTTTGAATATGGCACTTTAAAAAAAATCTCAGGGCTAGGACGAAGAAGACGTTACTGGCACCTGCTCGAGGCAATCGACGAACAACAGGGTGGTCGTGATCGTGATCATGATATCAACACAAGTAAAGCCAGATTTTAAGGAATTACAGTTCATTTTCCTTCAAACAACGTTCATGTTGCCTCTTTTACCATTTGTTTTTAATTTTCTTTTCTCTAGGGCTATTTCTTTGGGTGATTATTTCATTTAAATATTTTGTCTTCAAAATGTGTCAGCTTCAGAGCCATTGGGTTTTGGGAACTGCGATATTCCAAGTGATCCATTGGAGTTCCAGGGACAATATGGTGAAACTTGACAACAGGACAGCACTTCAATCGTGGGGCCTAAGGATGAGGTACCACGCAGGCCCTTCAGTGCTAGCAGTTATTGAAATAATCTTACAGAGCCCCAGGCATTCTAAGTAACATACAATGGCCTTTCGGGGACCGTGTGTTAACAGGGTTGACTGCAAGAAAGATGCTGCCTTTTGTCAACATACTATCATTCCTCCTTTCAGATTGTGTGTGTGTATGTGTGTTATTTTGAGGGCTAAACCAGTAGACATATCTCTTATATAATATTTTTGTGCAGGTTTTGACTGGTCAAATACAATTTTACTTTTTAATTCATAGGTTGTGCAATATAGTTAAAAGATGATTTATTTAAAATGTGACAAATTGAGAGCACCTACAATAATTGGTTGATGACACTCTAACACTGTTCTTTTGTCAAGTTTACTCCCCCTGTCCTGACTTTTAGAATTTCTTCCTCCTCTGCATGATACCAAAGAAAAAACGTAATGAGATCTGATTTCATATCTTTTAGGCTGTAAGAAAACATTGATATGTGGGGAAAATTACAGGTGGCAGTAGTGCAGAGAACGTGTTAATCTCATATCTGAAAAAAGCTACTCCTGTGGCAATTCCCAGCCACTTTGAGGAAGGCTCCTCCCCATTTATGAAATTTTCTAGATCCCATGCCTTGCCTTTCCAAGCTCCCACTCAAGGTCAGAACTTTGTGTCATTCATTTAATTGCTCCTCCCTCAGAAAGTCTTTTAAAAGGCTGGTTGTTCTTGATCTGACACACCATTAAAGGTCTGGGCAAGAAAGGTAAGTGGGAAATGATACAAGATGCCAGCTTTGTCAGGATTTATTCTCAGATTCCAGAAAAAGGGTAGGAAAGATTTCCATTCCTGAGAGGACACGAGCGCTGTCAGACTCCACAGTGGTAAACCTGAGAGGTCTCAAGGGTAGAATATAGAAAACTCAAATCTGTTCTGTCACCATACTGGGAGACACAAGTTAGTCAGGTCAACTTACTCCTAAGAACTAAACAAAGAAAATAGAAATATTGGGATAGCACAGCTGTAGAGAGTTTGCCTGCGTGCAGCCAGCCCAGTAGAGCTGGGTTTGATTCCTCTACTCCTCTTGGAGAGGCTGGCAAGCTACCGAGAGTATCTCACATGCTTGGCAAAGCCTGGAAAGCTACCCGTGATGTATTCAACATGCCAATCACAGTAACAAGAAGTCTCAAAAAAAAATGAAGACGTTACTGGGTCCGCTCGAGCAAACTGATGAAAAACGGGAGGACAGTGTTTGTTTATTTTTGTTTGGGTAGTGGCTCATCTGCTTTCCTTGTGCCTGACCCAACTTCCATCCCTGCCTCTGATAGCCTCCTCCAGTGAGACAAAATGCTGCCTCCCATGGCCACTGTTGCTTGGCTGGTGCTCTCCTGCCTGATGCTCCAAACCCAGGTGAAAGGTAAGCGTTCCCACATCCAGCCCCTGTGTTGTGAAATGCTCCGATCCGGGAGCCCAGTTTGGGCATTTTACAAAATCTAAGTAAAATAGTGGAATAGATAATTCCTCATCTAATGTTTCTAGTGACACTTGAAAACATTATTAATGCATTGGAAACGCTAAGGAATTGTCAGGGTTCACTATTCCAAGTACTGCCCTTATGCATAGCTCCTTGGTACCTTTTCCAACAAAATATGCATTCTTCTTTTTCACTACAACACTCCTTTGTATCTTCATATATCAGGGGAAGACCTGCAGAACGAAGAGCTGTCTCCACGAGCCAGATGCCCCAAAGGCTCCAAGGCTTATGGCAACTACTGTTATGCCTATTTTAAGATTTCAAAATCCTTTATGGATGCAGATGTGAGTAGCTGTACTTGCAGCTGGGGTGTGTATTTGTGTGTGAGCGGTAGGGAGGGGACCTTAGACAGCGGAGTTCAGGGGAGTTCCATTTTATTGTGATATACTAGGTAGAATGATAAGCACAGTTTGCAGTACACCTGCTCTTGCTTATCTTCCTCCACTTCTTAAGTCCTAGTGTTTATGTTAGCTTCTCCTCTCTCTCTTCCTTCCTCTCATAGTTTGAATGCCAGAAACGTCGCAATGGACACCTTGTGTCTGTGCTCACTGAGTCTGAGGGATACTTTGTGGCCTCCCTCATCAAGAACAGTGGAAATACATCCTCTTATGTCTGGATTGGACTCCATGACGTCACAGAGGTGAGATTATACCTTCTGTACTCGGGTAACTTTATAGCTAAATTTGCCATCCTATGTCATCCGATCTCCTTAGTCTGCTCAATCCTTAGATCAGGTAACCCTGAAATTTAGTGTAGTCAGAAGCTCTTCTAGAAAATGTAGCCCTGAGCCCAATTGAAGTGCATCATGTAGCTAACATCAATGCACCTTTTCAAACAATGTATACTAAAGACTCCCTAGGTCAATTACCTGCTGGTTGCCAGTGATGGTGCCTAAGCGCCAAGCTATTGATAAATGAAGGGTGGTGCACTGTCCACTACAGAATTTACATGACCTTTGAGGCCCAGAATTTCATAGCCTGTAATCCACCATATGTTGTGATAAACAATACTTGCTACTCTCACTGATATTAGTGACTTTGATTCTAACACACTAGATCAAGGCTTTAGAGAAAACTTTTAGAGTTCCTTTATAGATCACCTAGTCAAAGAGTCTAACAGATTATCTGATGCTGGGTTTCACTCAGGGATTTCACTGAAGATGCTGTCAGAGCATCCCAGGGGAAACTGAGATTCAGGTGTCCATTTCTCCTGTCTGCACAGAATCAACCCCAGGCAAGTGGATGGGAGTGGATTAATGGTGATCTGGTGAACTACCTGGCCTGGGAGAAAGGAGTTCCTACGAATTCCGGGTTCTGTGGGGCTGTTGTTAGCAGAACAGGTAAGAACAAGACAAACTTCTTTGTGCAGATCTGCTCCACTTCTGCCATATCCCCAAAACCAGTGTCGAAGCCTGACCTTTTGGAAGGGAATAAATTTCCAAATTCATAACTGTTTGTCCTTTCCCAGCCTCTCTCAGCTCTCTTTTCACTGAGCCCATTTTTGTTGGAGCAGAAATATGACACAAAAAAAGGAGGGAAGGCTGTTGACACTTGTCCTTGATGACAAAGACATCAAAGGTTCTTTCAGGTTCGCAGCTTTAAACACCCCACTCATTTCTCCTCTTCTTGTCACTTTAGGCTATGAAAAATGGCAAAATTTTAACTGTAAAACTTTGCTGCCCTATGTCTGCAAGTTTGAGAGCTAAATCAGATCAGAAATCTACAGGATGAATCAACATGCAGTTCCCGGAGGATATTGTTCCAGTTTTAAATTGGATCGTAGAAAGAAATAGCCACCTGATTTCAACCCTGGACAACACATTGCCTATATCTCCTCCCTAGTCTCACTGCAAGCCTTTCTTGAAAGCTGAAAGCCTGGTTTCTCAAATAATGATAATAAATACTTCTATCCATACGATGTCTTTTGAGTTCTTATCTTAGACCAAGGAATGATCATACATGAGAGAAATCTAGTTCTTCATGTACCCTCATCCAGATACCTAGGAAAATCCCAATTGTAAATACTCACTAAAGTTTTCCATCATATCCCCACAAAGATGCTTGGCTTAAGTCCTGGATTCTGGAGCGTGACAGTCTAAGTCTCACCCTGCAAGCCCACTCAGCTGTGCTGTCTATACTCACACTTTTAGCTATACTAGGACACTGTAGACAACACCCCACCCCAACCCTATAGTTCCATTCTTTGACTCATCTAGATTTGCTGCAAGTCTCTTTGCTTCCCACCTCCTAGAAAGAACCAATTTATAGGAAGCTTAAACTTCTGTCTAAGCAGCCCCGAGACACACACGATTAATAAATAGCCAAGGCTGCACTATGAGGGACTCTCACTGGAGACTTCAGCTGTATCCATCTGAGGACTGAAATTGTTTTCAGTTCATTGACTTGCCTACATATTTTGGTACCCTCTTAATTTCTTTCACCACTCATGGCGTAGACATGGCTGGGCCTTGGTTCCAACACCTTTTGCATTTCCTTTTCCCACCCATGAATTTGTGAAATCTTTAGGTCCTGTTTATGTAAGTACCATATGCTGATGTTGTTCATACTGCTCTGTCACATCCTGCGCTGATGTTAGCACTCATGCATGTCTCGGTCTTCCTGGAGCCTAATATTCACAAGAACAATCCCTCTGAACTCATTTGTTCAGTAATAATCCATTTTTTAAAATCCATGAAAGAAATTAACAGGAAGTCAAACAATTGAGGCAAGTGAATGAACTGAAAGACACTCCAGTCCTCAGATGAAGTCTCCAGTGAGAATCGCTCATAGCACACACTTGAGGATTCATTAATCATGTGAGTCTGGGATGTTTAGACAGAAGTTTCTGCTTCATATAGATTGGTTCTTTCTGGAGGTGGGAAGCAAAGAGACTTGGAGCAAATCTAGATGAGCCACAGAATGGATCTACGGGGGGGGGGGGGGGGGCAGAGGGGTTCTAGAGTGTCCCAGTATAGCTGACATTGTGCACAGATACAGCACAGCTGAGTGGGCTTTCAGAGTGAGACTCAGCCGCTTCAGAATCCAGGACTTAAACCAAGAATCTTTGCAGGGGTATATTGCTGGATCACATCAGTAGTGATTTACAATTGGGATTTTCGTAGGGATCTGGATGAAGGTGGATGGAGGTAGAACCAGATATCTCTCACGCACAGTTATTCCTCAGTGATGCTCTGAGAACAGTACTGAAAATACAACATTTTCCCCAGTCCTTGTGCATGCACCCCCGCCTGCACTGGACCTGAAATCGTCCCAGCACCCCATGAGCAGTGCATACTGCCCTCAGGCGCAGCATTCCAGCGCCTCCACCTTCCCCTTTCAGGTGTGCCTACTTCCCTGACGGAGTGCCCAGTCCCCGCACATTTGCAGTGGGCCTAAATTCAACCCAGCATTCCCCGGGCTGGCAGGGGGCATGTCCTTCACCACTGTGGGCGTGGCCTTTTTGGCAGAAGGAGTGGCTTCTGGCTGCAGTCATTTTCTCCTCTCTCCTGGAACTCTGGACTCACATCTCAATCCCAATTACCTAATTCTGTAAAGAGCTCCCTGGCTACCTCAAACACAATAGGCCAATAGACCACAAGCCTACTCCAATTGCACCAAAGTACCAGTGAACACAAATCTATTCCAATTTATACAAAATAGCAATGAACACAAAAGCTGTACAAAGCCAAATATAAAAGAATACATTCTCCAAAACTTCACTGGAGGCCTCACATAAATCACAGAGAAATACCTGAACAGAAGGACGTATTCTAGAAGGGGAAAAAAGGTGACCACCACTGACTGAGCTCACCCAGAATCCTTTATAGCAGTAAGAGGGAATAGTGCTAGTGAACTGGAAGATCCCACTTCCAGACAACCAGAAAAACATGAAGAAACAGTGCAAATTCCCAATGCAAGGGGAGGTGAATAAAGAGTCCAGAAGCCTCAACAAGGGTTACCCACAAATGCGATCTTTCCTATAAATAATTCAGAGATGAAATACTGAGGATGTTCAAGGAAATAAAGAAACAGGGGACCAGACATCCAGCAAATTAAAGGAGGACATGAAAGAAACCATGGAACAGACAGTCAAGAAAATACAGTAAGAAATGAAAGCAGAAGTAAGAAAGCTGCAATCAGAAGTCTCACAAATAAAAGATTCCATAGATGAAATAAAAAATATCAGTGGGTGCCCTCAACAGTAGAATGACTACAGCTGAAGACAGAATCAGTGAGCTGGAAGATGAACTGCAGAAAGCTTACAAGTAACAACAAACAATAGGAAAAGATCTCAAAATAGCTCTAGGGCAAATCAGAGGCCTAGGGGATGATTCCAAGAGGAAAAACATTAGAATCATCAGAGTACTAGAAGAACAGGGAGGCAACCTCAATGAAAAAGCCACAGTTAAGGAAATCATTGCTGAATAGTTCCCAGGGTTAGAGAATGAAGGCATCCAGATCCAAAGGGCCAGAAGTGTGCCAGCTGAAAAAGATCCTAATAAAAACACTTCAAGGTACATCATAGTCAGAATGATGGTTGCCACAGAGAGAGACAAAATACTGCAAGCAGCAAGATCAGAGAAGGAAATCACATATAAAGGAACACCCCTTAGATTTACAGCAGACCTATCAGAGGAAATCCTCTAATCCCAAAGACAATGGTGGGATATAGTGAAAAAATTAAATGAAATGAGCACCTCACCTAGAATACTTTATCTGGCTAAACTCTCACTCAAACTTGAAGGAATGATACACTACATTTTGGATAAACAACAGCCCAGGAACCTCATAGACTCAAAACTCAAGTTAAAAGAAGGACTAAGTCTCTTCTTGTCTCCCAAGCAGTGCTGATCTTCTCCGCCACCCAGGTCAGTTTATCCCTGGTACTCGACCCGGTTCTTGGATTTCTCCCTGAAAGGCCCCCAGGTGTCTTCTTGGATGCTGGGAGAAAAGCAGCTCTGAGCTTCTGCCTCTTCCTCTTCTCATCTCCCAAGCTGTGCTGATCTTCTCCGCCACCCTATCTTTACCCCCCAACACACATCAAGTTTTCGTGGGGGAGTGGCCTCTTCAGAATCGGGCGTGGCTTCTGTGGAAGTGGGCGTGGCTTAATTTTCAGTGGGCCAACGCTCATGAGGCCGCAGGTGATTTACCCATACCAAGAAACCTAGTCCCCATACCTACACACCAACATGAAGAAGCAACGCAAAAACCCACCACATGAGGAGGATGAGGAAAAGAATCCAGAAGCCTCTGTAGATGCTGCTCACCTAAGGGACCTGTCTGACATAGAATTCAGATACAAAGTCATGAAGATGTTCAATCAACTCAATGAAACAATCAGACAGACATCCAGTAACATGACAGAAAAAATCGATAAATTAGGGGAATAAATGAGAGCAGAAATGTCACGAATAAGATTCCGTAGACGAAATGAAAAACTCAGTCTCTGCCCTCAACAGTAGAATGACCGCAGCTGAAGAGAGAATCAGTGAGCTGGAAGATCAGCTGCACAAAGTCAACAGGCAACAACAAACAGTAGCAAGGGAACTCAAAATAGCTCTACAGAGAATCAGAGTCGTTGAAGATGATTCCAAGAGGAACAAGATTAGAATCATTGGACTACTAGAAGCTCAGGGAAACAATCCCAGTGGAAAAACTACGGTTAAACAAACCATTGCTGAAAAATTCCCAGAGCTCCACAATGCAGCCATTCAGTTTCAAGGAGCCCGAAGGGTGCCAGCTAAAAGAGACCCTAACAAAAACACTCCAAGACATATCATAGATAGAATGATTGATGCTGCCTATAGCGATACAATACTGCTAGCAGCAAAGTCAAAGAAGGAAATCACATACAAAGGAGTACCCCTTCGATTCACAGCAGACTTAACAGAGGAAACCCTCCAAAGCCGAAGGCAATGGCAGGATATAGTGAAAAAAATCACTGAAATGAATGCTTCACCAAGAATACTCTATCCAGCTAAACTCTCACTCAAAATCAAAGGCATGCTACACTATATTCTAGATAAATAGCAGCTCAGGAACTTCATAGACTCAAAACCAAACCTAAAACAAGGGCTAAGACCAGACAAACCCTACAACCACAACAGACCCTTACAGAAAGATGACACAAAACCCCATAACAATAATCTCTGTCAACATCAGTATTCTAAATTCACCAATTAGAGAGACACAGAGTGGCAAAATGGATACAGAGACAGAACCCAACCTTCTGCTGCTTACAAGAAACTCATCTCAACAGTCAGAGCAAACACAGACCCAAAGTGAAAGGATAGAAAACAATCCATCAAGCAAACAGCTCCCTCAAAAAAGCTGCGGTGGCATACTAGTATCCGACGACACTAATTTCACGTTAATAAAGATGAGAAGGACAGCAAAGGCTATTTTCTCTTCATCAAGGGATACGTACAACAGGGAGAAATCACACTCTTAAATGTATATGCACTTAATAGGGAACAGTTAAATACTTAAAACAATTGCTAACAGATTTTAAGGATGACTTTACTAGCAACACAATAGTAGCTGGAGATTGCAACATTGCCTTATTACCTCTGGATAGATCAACAAGAACAGAACTCAGCAAGAAAACGTTGGCTTTGAAAGATGAAATGGAAGAGAAAAAGCTTATAGACCTATACAGGGCTTTACACCCCCAAAAGAAAGAATACACATTCTTCTCCAGTGCACATGGAACATTTTCCAAAATAGAGCATGTGCTAGGCCACAAAACATAACTCAATAGAATCAGGAATATAGAAATAGTATCAACAATCTTTTCAGACCATGATGCACTGATAATAGAAGTGAATCACACACGGACATGGAGAACCGAATCAAACACCTGAAATTAAACAACTCAATGCTGAACAATGAGTGGATCAGAAAGGAAGTCAAGGACAAAATCAAGACACTTGAAAACAAATGAGAATGAAGACATAAGCTACCAGAACTTATGGGATGCAGCAAAAGCCGTATTAAGGGGAAAAAATTATAGCTCTGCAAGCATATCTCAGGATGGAAGAAAGGATGCACATAAACAACTTGACTTCAGAGCTCAGGATCTTAGAAAAGGATCAACAGAAGGAGACCAAATCAGGCAAAAGGAAAGAGATCATAAAACTTAGAGCATAAATCAACGACATGAAAACCAAAGAAACAATCTGAAAGATTGATGAAACCAAGAGCTGGTTCTTCGAGAAAATAAATAAGATAGATAAACCAATAGCAACACTCACAAAGAAACACAGAGAGAGAAAACCCTAATAAATCGAATCAGAAATAAAAATGGGGATATCACAACAGAAACCAAAGAGATTCAAAGGATCATCAGAGACTACTTTGGAAGTCTGTATGCCACAAAACAAGAGAACCTAGAAGAAATGGATAAATTCCTGAATCCCTATAATCTCCCAAAGCTGAATCAAGAAAACATAGAGTACCTGAATAGACCTATTAACATCAAGAAAATTGAAACTGTAATCAAAAGTCTTCCCAAAAATAAAAGCCCAGGTCCAGATGGATTCATTAGCAAATTCCTCCAAACATTTAAAGAGGACCTACTGCCAGTTTTTTTCAAGCTTTTCCAGTAAATCAAGGAAACAGAAATACTGCCACAGTTTGTATGAGGCATATATCACCCAAATACCAAAAGCATACAGATACCCCCCCCAAAGAAAGAAAATTACAGGCCTATATCTCTAATAAACACAGATGCAAAGATCCTCAACAAAATATTAGCAAATAGAATCCAACAACTCATCAAAAAGATCATACACTACAAATAAGTGGGATTCATCCTAGGGATGCAAGGATGGTTTAGCATTTGGAAGTCAATCAAAATAATTCATCATATGAACAAAAGAAAGGATAAAAACCATATGATCATATCCATAGATGCAGAGAAAGCATTTGAAAAGATACAGCACCAGTTCATGATGTAAACTCTCACCACAATGGGTATAGAAGGCACCTTCCTCAACATAGTTAAAGCCATCAACCACAAACCTATGGCAAGCATTATCCTCAATGGGGAAAAACTAAGAGCCTTCCCTCTAAGATCAGGGACAAGACAAGGATGCCCACTCTCACCACTTCTGTTCAATATAGTACTGGAAGTATGTACAATAGCAGTTAAGCAAGAACGATATATTAATGGCATCCAGATATGAAAGGAAGAAATATAGCTCTCACAATTTGCAGATGATATGATACTTTATTTAGACAATCCCAAAGCCTCTACCAAGAAACTCCTAGAAACAAGAGACCTGCATAGTAAAGTTGCAGGCTATAAAATCAATATCCAAAAGACCATGGCTTTCCTATATAGAAATAATAAAAGAGAAGAGAAGAAAGTGATATTAAGAAATCAATCCTGTTCACAATCCTGTCTCAGAAAATCATGTACCTCTGAATCAGCTTAACTAAGGAGGTAAAGGACCTGTACAAAGAAAACTACAAAACGTTACTTCATGAAATTAAAGAGGACCGAGAAAATGGAAAAACTTCCCCTACTCATGGATTGTCAAAATGTCAATATTTCCCAAAGAGTTACACAGATTCAATGTGATCCCCATAAGGATACCCACGACACTCTTCAAAGAAGTGGATCAAACACTTCTGATATTCATATGGAACAATAAACCATCATGAATTGCTAAAGCAATTCTTGGGAAAAAGAAGATGGGAGGCATTACCTCCCCGAACCAAAATCTCTGACACAAAGAGGTAATAACTAAAACAGCATGGAAGAAAGGCAGGGCAGTAAAACAGTGGAACAAGGTTGAGTATCCTTACACACATTCTCATGATCTTTGATTAGGGAGCAAGAAATGTGAAGTGGAGCAAGGAAAGCCTTTTTAACAAATGGTGCTTGAAAAATTGGAAAGCTACATACAAAAAAATGGGCTCAGACCTCTACCTAACACCATGCACAAAATTCAGCTCAAAATGGATTAAAGACCTCAACATCAGACCGTAATCCACAAGGTACTTTGAAGACAAGGTCAGCAAAACCCTCCACGACATTGAAGCTAAAGGAATCTTCAAAGATGATTCGCCACTGACCGGGCAAATGGAAACAGAGATAAACAAATGGAATTATATTAAACTAAGAAGCTTCTGTAACTCAAAAGAAACATTGATCAGAATATAATGTCAGTGTATAGAATGGGAAAGGATATTCATTTAATACCCATCTGATAAAGGGTTGGTATCAAGGATATACAAGTTACTGATTGAACTCCATAAGAAGAAAACTTCCAACCCCATCAGAAAATGGGGCAATGAAATGAACAGAAACTCTTTCAAAGAAGAAATACAAATGGCTAAAAGGCACATGAGAGAATGCTCTACATCACTAATCACCAGGGAGATGCAGATCAAAGCAAAGATGAGATATTATCCCACAGAGACTGGCACGCATCCAAAAGAACAAAAGCAACCAGTGCTGGAGTGGATGTGGGGAGAAGGGGACTCTCCTTCACTGCTGGTGAGAATGCCAACTGGTTCAGCCCTTTTGGAAAACATATGGATGTTTCTCAAAAAATTAGAAATTGAACTTCCATTTGGCCCAGCAATACCACTTTTGGGACTATATTCCGGAGATGTAAAAAAGTATAGTCAAAATGACATCTGCATCTGTATGTTCATTGAAGCACTGTTTACAATAGCCAGAATCTGGAAAAAATTGAGTGCCTGAGAACAGGTGACTGGTTAAAGAAACTTTGGTACATCTACCCGATGGAATACTATTCAGCTGTTAGAAAAGATGAAGTCATGAAATTTGCATATAAGTGGACTAAAATGGAGAGTATCATGATAAGTGAAATGAACGAGAAAGAGAGGAACAGATATACAAAGACTGCACCCATTTGTGTATATAAAGTAGAAAAATGGGAGACTAACACCCAAGGATATTAGAGATAAGGACCAGGAGGATGCTCTAAGGCTTGGAAGCCAGCCTCACATGGTGGGGGAAAAGCAGCTCAGATGCAGAAGTTAACACCAATTAAAGGATGCTTGGAGGACCCACTTAGGATTGGAGATGTGTGCTGAAAGTAGACTATAGACCGAATATGATGGCCACTTAATACGTGCATTGCAAACCACAAAATCCTAAAGGAGAGAGAGAGTAAAATGGAATCTTCCTTCAACAGGGGATGGGGGTGGGGTGGGTTGTAGGTGGATGGTGGGATACTGACATGATTGGTGGTAGAGAATGGGCACTGGTGGAGGGATGGATACTCGATCATTGATTGTGTGACTAAAATGTAAGCACGAAAGTTTGCAAGTCTGTAACTATATTTTATAATTATTCATTAAACATAAATAAAAATAAATAAGAGATAATAAAAGAGAAAAACGAGCAGTTGCAACATGTTTATATTGTATTGGAAAGGTTCATAAAGTTGCATACATACCCACGAAAATAAATTAAATAATTCTAGTAATGTATCACTAATTCCAATTGCTCTCATTTCAGCTCAGAACTATTTTATAAGGACTATGCCAGATGATAAATAGTGAATGAATAGAATACCAAACTAATATGTTTAATTAACTTTATGGATTTTTGTGTGATAGAAAAAAATATGCAAAGAAAATAAACAACATATTAATTTAAATGATTAAATATGCCAAAGGAAAATATAAAATAGAGTAAGTGGTGTGGATTATTTAAAAAAGACATCATTAACATGGCTAGGAGTATTTATATTTATTATTTAATAAACCAGGCTTGACCATACAAGAAAGACATGCAGTGTGAATGGGGAGGAGGGGGAAGAGATGTGGCTTACAGGGTTGAGAGCTGGGAGAGATTTTCTTCAAGGATCCATTTTGAGACCAGAAGAATATCCATGAGTTGCTGCATGCTAATTCAGCCTTTAGATTTCTGACATGATCTAGTACCTAAACTTGCAGACGTATGGTAAGTGCTTTGTACAGTCATGGCCTTTCCAGTATTTGTAGCCTAGAGACAAGAAGAGAAGAAATGAGTGGCTTGTATAAAGCTATGAAACTGATAGAGAGGCATCACAGGCAGGGTCAAAGTCCATCCCTCCTATTTTAAAAAAAAATCCCTCCTTTAAGGCAAAATAGTTCAGTAAAAAGAGACCTGAGAGAGTCTAGGAAAAGGCAAATAAACCATGCATTTGTAAATTTGTTCTCTACCTAAAGGTCAAGCTTAGAAACTAGTTTTGGGGAGATGGATGATGGAAACAGTTCTGAAAATGGAAGCTTGCTTCATTTTTACCTGATCTATAGGAAACGGTCCCACGGTAGCCTGAACCAGTTGGCACACCGTACTCCCAGGCAACATAGTCCATCACATTGCTGGCAATCCACTCCCATGTATTTGGAAATGAACCCTATGACAAATAGGAAATAATAGACACATGGGTCTCACTTGCTCCTGGAATACTCTGGGCATCATCTTCACTGGAATCCATGAGTGACACCCAGTATCAGAGAATCTGTTTGGCTCTTTGTGGAGGTGATCTAAAGGAGGAACTTTTGAAATTTCCTCTAAAGCCTTGCTGTAGAGACTAAGAGTGAGAATCACCATTACCTGTCAGAGTATCAAGGATTGTTTAGCTACAACATGTGATGCAATACAGGCTATGCATCTCTGGACCTAAAAGTTCATGTAGATTCTGTAGTGGCCAATGAAGTCACCCTTCATTTATCAACAACTCAGTACATCTTAGGCCCCTGGAAACTGCAATATTGACCTAGGAAGTATTTAGTGCACATTGTATGAAATTGGGATACACTTTCAGATACCTCAAAATTGCTGCTAAGCATTTTTCCAGACCCCAAAAACTTGGGGCAAAGTTTACCAAGAAAGTAAATGGCCAAAAGTTAGGTATGTGGGAAACACAGGCACAAACCACCTATGGCTCAGCTATATAATTGGAGGCATGGCCTCTCTGGTTCCTGATCGAACTGCTTAACAACCATGATCCAGAGACTCAGAAATGAATCTTGGAACCCAAAGGCTTTTGGAAGAAATGCAGCCTGTTCCTACATGAGGATACTGGGGGTGGGCCACTCCAGTTGGGAATACGTTTCGTGCCTTGGCCCATTTCCCTTGGCTTCCCAGTGACCGCCATCCTCCAGAGGCCACTGGACAGTCAGGTTTGAGCCTGTAGTGATGAGACACATGTGGCCTCACCAGATGGGGGTGGAACTGGCCCTGTCCTCCCCATCCCAGCGAGACTCTGAGTTGCTGCCTACAAATGGCCTCTCTGGCTCCTGATCAATCTGCTTGATGGCCATGAACTCAGAGACTCAGAGATGAATCTCAAAACCCAGCTGCTTTTGGCATACATGCATCTGGACTGCATACAAGGTGGCCACCACCTCAGAGCTTCTTGGAAAGCCAGGTATGAGCCAGCGGTGACAGGGCAACTGCAGTCTCCTGGTAAGGGAGGCAGTACTGGCTTGTCCTTCACGCCCTACCAAGGTCACAATTTGCCCCCCACAAGCAGCTCTCAGGCACAGCCATGGCTCCAGAGGCAAAAGGACTTAGTCCAGAGCACAGCAGCTTGCGGCAGAAAAGTGAATGGACTATGTGTTATACTATAGCGCCATGCCTCCCTGGGAGGAAGATGGTGTTGCTTCCTTCCGCCTTCCCAGCCCTCCAACAGCAATGTGGCCACCGCCTCAGAGCTTATAGGAAAGCCAGGTGTGAGCCAGTGGTGACGGGGAAACTGCAGTCTCATGGGAAGGGGGGCAGTACCGGCTCGTCCCTCACGCCTACTGAGGTCACAAGTTGCCCCCCACATGAAGCTCTCCAGCATGGCCATGGCTCCAGAGGCAAAAGGACTTAATTCAGAGCCCGACAGCTTGTAGCAGAAAAGTGAATGGACCATGCATTAAACTACAGCAGCATGCCTCCCTGGGAGGGAAAGGGTGTTGCTCCCTTCCGCCTTCCCCCCCACCCCAGTAGCAAGGTGGCCGCAGCCTCAGAGCTTATTGGGGCAGTACCGGCTCGTACTTTACGCCCTACCGAGGTCACGAGTCGCCCCCCACGAGCGGCTCTCAAGCACAGCCTTAACACCAGTCATACAGAAACCAATCTCATAATCATCTGGCTCTTTGCAGAAATCCAAAGTCATTATATGATTCTCATAACCAGCTATAGAAAACAAAGTATTTCACAATGCATTTTCAGCAATTCTGATTTTTGGGGGGAAATTCTAAACAATAATGGTGCATTTTTGTCAAAATAATGAATGTAATCAATGTAGAGAAGAGTTAAGTGGAAATCATCTGCCTCACAGGCATTGGGAGGGGTGAGAGGGGAGTATATTGGAGTTCTTGGTGGTAAAACATGAGTCCTGGTGAAGGGAGAGGTGTTTGATCATTGTATGACTGAGATTTAAACCTGAAATCTTAGTAACTTTTCCCACAGTGATTCAATAAATGCATATAAGAAGAAAAATAAATAAATAAATAAAACTATGAAAAACAAAGTAAGGTGGAGTTCATGCCCAAATCAATCAGCTAATAAGTGGCTGAATAAATAGCAGTAGTCCTACATAAAAAAAAGAAAGAAATTGGGATACATGGGGGGATTGATGGCAGCTGGAGATGAGGGCACTTCACAGAACCCAGATATTTAAAGGGCTTTGCCTTTCATTATGCAGGAGAGACTCTGACTTCTTTGAGTTCCCATTCTTGTCTGGTGTAATTCTTGGGAAGGCTCAGGAGACATAATAACCAGAATTGCAAATGTAGCATTAAAGTTATCTGAGTACAGAAGATGTAATCTCACCTCTGAGGGGTCATGGAGGCCAATCCAGACGAGAGGGGTTTCATTATTACTCTCGTTGATGAGGGTGGCCACAAAGTTGGCCTCAGACTCAGTCAACACAGATACAAGATCTCCATAGGGACGTTTTCTGCATTTGAACTATGAAAGAAAGAAGGAAAACATGGGATAACAATGGGAATTTGGAAGTGGATGGAGAGAACCAAGAACAAGTGTACTGCAAATTGTGCTTACTATTCTACCTAGTATATTCCTATAGAATGGAGGTTCCTGTAACTCCAATGTCTAAAGACCCCCAACTACAAAGTGCTCCCCCTCCAGACACATCTCATTTGGAAATACAGTTACTCACAGCTGCATCCATCCAGGATTTTGGTGACATATAGAAGGCATAGCAGCGATTGTCATAAGCGAATGAGTGTTGGGGACACCTGATTCGTGGAAGCAGCTCTTCATTCTTCAGGTCTTCCCCTGACACAGAAAAATATAAAGGAGTGCTGTAGTGCAAAAGAACAATTGGAATTTTGTCGGAAAAGACAGTACGGCAGTACGGCAGTACTTAGAACAATTACAATCCCTCAGCGTTTCCAACACATTCAGAATGCTTTCAAGTGTAACCATAAACAATAGATGAGGAATATGCTATTCCCTTAACTTGGATTTTATAAAATGCATAAATTGTGCTCCCAGATTGGAATATTCGACGATACAATGGCTGGATGTGTGAACGCTTACCTTCCACCTGGGCTTGGAGTGCCAGGCATCAGAGCACAAGCCAAGCAACAGTGGTCATGGGATGCAGCATCTTGTTTCACTGGAGGAGTCTGTCAGAGGGAAGGATGGAAGTTGGGTCAGGCAGAAGGCTAGCAGAGAAACCACTGCTCCATCTCCCTGTTTTATTTGTTTGATTCCCAGATGATTGATAGTTCAGCTCCTAGTATGGTGACAGAACAGATTTGATACTCTAAATATTCTACCCAGGAGGCCTCTCAGATTTATCACTGCTGAGTCTGACAGTGTGTGTGTGTCCTCTCAGAAGTGGAAATCCTTTACCTTCTTCCTCTAGCATCTATATCAGTTCCCACTTGCCTTTCTTATAGGGAACTTTGATAATCTGTCAGGGCAGGAAGGACCATCCTTTAAAAAGATGTTCTGAGGGAGGGATACTGCAATGAATAATGCAAAGTTGAAACCTTGAGAAGCCTGCTGGGAAAGACCAGGCAGGGATTCCAGGAGGTTCCTGAAATATGGAGGGTCTTACTAGCAGTGGGTGAGAATTGCCACAGCTGTGCCTCTTTCAGATAACAGATAAACATCTTCTCAGGACTACAAACACCTATACATTCATTTTTTACTGTGACTAAATGGAATAGAGTTTTAGGTCTATTTTCCATGTGGTTTCTTTATTTCTTCTCTCTTTTTGTAGAATATTTTCAGTGTTATGTTATATATGCTTAGAAAGTTTTGTTTTTATACAAATTCCATCAGAAAAATTTATGTCAATCAGAAAAACTCCCTCTATTTATAAGTATTCTACCAGGAATTTATCACTATAACAAATAATACAGATATAATTTTTATTTATAAGTATATTTATAATTTCATATAAACTGTCAATGGAAAGGTGAACAAAAATGATGATACATTTCTCAACTCAAACACAGGTTTAATCAGTAATACATTTTAATCACTCCATAAAACCTAATAGACAATTTTTCAATGAAATGACTTCAAAGAAACGTGAGTCTGTGATTTGATTGGTGTTTTAAAATCAAATTATAGTGAAGTAAAAAGATATTTGAAAAAGAAAGCAAGTAATTATGTGTAGATATGTTGCTCTCTTATTGTGCCTCACCTTAAGGAGATTGATATATGGAAGAATCTATCAACACCAGTAAAGCCAGATTTTAAAGAACTACAGTTCACTCTTAACCAAACCATGTTCATGTTGCTTTTTTTACCATTTGCTTTAAATTTTATTTTCTCTCAGGCTATTTCTCTAGGTGATTATTTTATTTAACTACTTTTTCTTCAAAATGTGTCTGCTTCAGAGCATTGGGAACTGTGATATTCCAAGTGCTATAATGGAGTTCCAGGGACAATATGGCGAAACTTGACAACTGGAGAGTACTTCAAGGAGGGGATACAAGGAGGAGGCACCACACAGGCATGTAAGTGCTAGCCATTACTGGAATTATCATAAAAAGCACCAGATATTCAATGTAACACACAATGGCCTTTCATGGGACAGTGTGTTAACAGGGTTGACTGCATGAAGGGTGCTGCCTTTTGTCAACATTCCTCCTTTCCTTCTTTCAGATTGCGTGTGTGTGTGTGTGTGTGTGTGTGTGTGTGTTATTTTGAGATTTTGAGGGCTAAAGCAGTAGACATATATCGTTTATAGTAATGTTTTTTGCAGGTATTGACTGATCAATTACAATTTTACTTTTTAGTTCATAAATTTGTAATATGATTAAAATTGTTTATTAAAAACATAACAAATTTAGAGCACCTACAACATGAAAAGTGTGCCGATGACCCTCTAAACACTGTTTTCTATCAGGTTTACTTTCAATGTCTTGATTTCTACAAATTATCCCTCTTCTGCATGGTACCAACGAAAAAAAGTGATGAGATCTGATTTCCATATCTTGTAGGCTATAAGAAAACACTGATATGTGGGGAAAATTACAGGTGGCAGTAGTGCAGAGAAGGTGTTAATCTCATATCTGAAATAGGTTACTTATGTTTCAATTCCCAGACTCTTCAAGGAAGGCTTCTCCCAATTTCAGAAATTTCCTAGAACCCCTGCCTTGCCTTTTCCACCAGCCCTCTCAAGTTCAGAATTTTGTGTCATTCATTGCAGCACCCTTCGCTCATCACGTCTTGTTCTTGATCTCACACACCATCAATCTTCCATGGTAAGTAAGGTAAGTGGGAGTTGATAGAAGATCCCCGCCAAATCAGATTCCATAGAATAGGTGGAAAGATTCCTGCTACGGAGAAGACACAAGCTCTATCAGTCTCAGCTATGGTAAACCTGAGAGGTCTCATGGATGGAATATCAGAATATCAAATCTGTTCTGTCAACATACTGAGAGACACAAGTTAGTCAGGTCAACTTACTCCTGAGAATCAAACAAAGGATACAGGGAGATGGACCAGTGGCTCCTCTGCTGCCTGATCAAACCGCCATCTCTGCTTCTGACGGCCTCCTTCAGTGAGACAAAATGCTGTCTCCAATGTCCACTGTCACTTGGCTGGTGCTCTCCTGCATGATACTCCAAGCCCAGATGAAAGGTAAGCATTCCCTCATCCAGCCACTCTGTGGAATATTCTGATCAAGGGGCACATTTTGGGCATTTTATAAAATCCAAGTGACCTGATGGGATATATGTTACCATATCGAATGTTTCTGATGACACTTGATAGCATTCCAAAACGCTGACGGATTGTCATGGTAGATTATTCCAAGTACTGCTCTTATGCATATCCTCTTGGTTCCTTTTCCAACAAAATACCCACTCTTCTTTTTCACTACAACACTCCTTTGTATTTTCATATATGAGAGGAAGACCTTCAGAAGAAAGAGCTGTCTCCAAGAGCCAGGTGTCCCAAAGGCTCCAAGGCTTATGGCAACTACTGTTATGCCTATTTTAAGATAGCAAAATTCTTTATGGATGCATATGTGAGTAGCTGTACTTGCAACTGGGATGTGTGTTTGTGTGTGTGTGTGTGTGTGTGTGTGTGTGTAGGTGGGGGGGGGACTTAGACAATGGCCTTCAGGAGATATGCCATTTTATTGAGACCTACTAGTTAGAATGATAAGCACAATTTACAGTACACCTGTTCTAGCTTATCTTCATCCACTTCTTAAGTCCCAGTATCAATGCAAGTTTTTTCTCAATCGCTTCTTTCCTCTCATAGTCAGAATGCCAGAAATGTCATAATGGACATCTCGTGTCTGCTCTCACTGAGTCTGAGGGCTACTTCATGGGCTCCCTCATCAAGAATTCTGGCACAACATCCTCTTCTGTCTGGTTTGGAGTCCATCATTCCACGGTCGGTCACGGTCAGTCTTCCCGTTGTTCATTGATTTGCTCGAGTGGGCCCAATAATGTCTCCATCATGAGACTTGTTACTGTGTTTGGCATATCGAATACATCACGGGTAGCTTGCCAGGCTCTGCCATGTGGGCGAGATACTCTCGGTAGCTTGCCGGGCTCTCCGAGAGGGGCGGAAGAATTGAACTCGGGTCGGCCATGTTGGCTGCTTGTAAGGCAAATGCCCTACCACTGTGCTACCGGATGGGGTTATCATTCCACAAAGATGAGATTACGTCTTCTATACTCGGTTAACTATATAGCTACATTTGCCATCCTGTGTCACCCAGTCTCCTTAGTCTGCCAAATAATTAGACCAGGCAACCCTGATATTCAGAGTAGTCAGATGTTCTCCTGGGAAATGAACACCAGAGCCACTTTGAAGTTCTGCGTTTTATGGTGTGGCCTCATCTGTAGCTCACATCAATGCCCTTTTCAAATAATGTGTACTAAAGTCTTCCTAGGTCAGTTTTGTGCTCTGGCCAGTAATGGTGCCTAAGGTGTGCCTAGTTGTTGATAAATGAAGGATGGGTTCACTTTCCACTACAGAATCTACATGTCCTTTGAGACCTAGAGTTGCATAGGCTATATTGCACCACTTGTTTTGCTAAACAATCCTTGCTACTCTCACTGGTAATAGTGACTTTGACTCTTACACACTAGACCAGGGCTTTCGAGAGAATTTTTAGAATTCCTCTCTAGATCACCTGCTCAAAGAGTGAAACAGATTCTCTGATGCTGGGTGACACTCAGAGATTCCAGTGAAGATGCTGCCAGAGCATCCCAGGGGAAACTGAGACTCAGATATCCATCTGTCTTGTCTTCACAGAGTCAACCCCACGCAGGTGGATGGGAGTGGATTAATGGTGATCTGGTGAACTATCTGGTCTGGGGGACAGGACTTCCTAACAATGCCGGGTACTGTGGAGCTGTTGTTAGCAAACTAGGTAAGAACGAGACAAACTTCTATATGCAGATCTGTTCCTCTTCTGCCATATCCCCAAAATCAGTTTCTAAGCCTGACCTTTTGGAAGGAGGTAAATTTCCAAATTCATGATTGTTTACCCTTTCCTAATATCTTTTAGCTCACTTTTCCTTGAGTCCCTTTTCCATGTATCAGAAGTATGATGCAAAAAAGAAGGAAGGAGGGACTTTGACCCTTATTGTGGTGCTTTTTTTTCAGGTCATAGCTTTAAACACTCCACTCATTTCTCCTTTTTTCTTTAGGCTATGAAAAATGGCAAAATTTTATCTGTAGAACTGTGCTACCCTACGTCTGCAAGTTTGAGAGCTAAATCCAGTCAGAAATCTAGAAATCTACAGGCTGAATCAACATGCGACTCCACGAGGCTATTCTTCCAGTCTTATAATGTATCCTGGAAGCAAATCTCCACCTGATTTCAACCCTGGACAACACATACTCTATAGTCCTCCCCAGCCTCACCAAAAGCCTCTCTTTTATGCTTAACATCTGGCTTGACAAACAATGATATTAAATATTTCTATCCACATGATGTACTTTGAGTTCTGTTCTCAGACTGAGAAATAATTGTTTGTGAGAGATATCTAGTTCTTCCATCATCCAACTTTCTAGGAAAATCCTAATTATAAATTCTCACTGAGTGGTCCAGCAACTGTAGCACTGTAGCACTGTCCTCCTGTTGTTCATCGATTTGCTCGAGCGGGCACCAGTAACAACTCACAAAATATTGTGAGACTTGTTCTTACTGGTTTTGGCATATCAAATATGTCATGGGTAGCTGCCATCCTCTGCTGTGTGGACAGATACTCTCCGTAGCTTGCTGGGCTCTTGGAGGGGGAGGGAGGAATCAAACCTGGTTCAGATCTGTGCAAGGCAAATGCCCCATAGGCTGTGCTATCACTCCAGCCCAAGTTCAGCAATATACCCCTGCATAGATGCTTGACTAAAGGCTCATAAAATCTCAGGACCGACCAAGGCTGCCAAAACAAACAAGGAGAAAAATAACTGTCTGCACGTACGCTGGCATCAGATGCATCCATTGAGGACATGATGGTGCAAGCGCAAAAGATCAAGTATGACATCATTGGTCTAACTGAGATGAGAAGGTATCAATCACATCACGCCATTTTCGACTCTGGAGAAGAAGTGTTCCTCAGAACATGCCATAAAAGAGATGTCAGTGCTGTCAGTGTCCTTGTCAACATGAACTTAGCCATAAACACTGATTCATTTGAATGGCTAACAACTCAAATTGGATGATTATACTTGAATAGATATGGCTCACTGCCAGCAGTTACTATTTTCATTGCCTATGCACCAACATCCAATTATGATGAAGGAGAAATTGAGAAGTTCTACATGGAGCTGGAGAAGTTCTATAAAGAAGACCACACCTTCTACAAGATCATTGTCATGATTTTAATGCTAAGTTAGGAACGAGAAGATCAGCCAAAGAACTCCACATCAGGACCCATGGCCTAGAATGGAACGAACAGGGTGAGAGACTGTTTGAGTTCATCATGTTTACCAAGACTCTCCATGGTAACTCACAGTTCCAGAATGCCAAATCTGAAAGTTGGACATGGGAGTCTCCCGGTGGATGGTTCAACAACGAAATTGACCACATCATATTAAATCAATGGTTTTGCCTGACCAATGTCGCTGTTGGTTCACCAGGATCGGACCACCATCTCCTTTGTGCAAAATTCTACTTCACAGAGTAAGGAGAATGAGATGCAAAGTTTAAGAAGAGAACTCCCAGAATGACCACCAACTGGGAGCTCTTTGGTACTATTGCTGCAACATGGGAAGATCCCGTCATTGACAACATTGACAAGGAATACGATCGACTGATTCAGCACCTCCATGACTGTGCAAGGAACACCAAGAGAGAGATAGCCACAATAAAACGCCTCTCTTCAAAAACTCTTGAACTTCAAAAACTCAGAAGCTCCTGGGTTCTGAAACTGGTTTGTATGCCTCTGGGATCATGACCATTCAGGAGTCAGAGGAGCCATGGCAACTTGGGGTCCTGTAGGAGTGGGGAGAAGGGCCAGTTCTAGCCCCCATGCCATGATTTCCCATGTGTCTCATCACTGCAGGCTCATACTTCTCAGTCCAATAGGCTCTGAAAGATGGTGGTCACCATGGAATTGAGGGGAAGAAGGCGGAAGGGACAATGCCCTCCCACCACCCAGGGCGGCATGGGGCCATAGTTTAATTCACAATCCAGAAGCATTTCTGCCAGAAGGCACTGGGTTCTGAGATTGTTTTGTGTTCCTCTGGCCTCTGATCATGGCCATTCAGGAGCTGGAGGAACCGTTCGTGGGTGGCAACTTGGGGTCTCGTTGGGGAGGGACGAAGGGCCAGTTACAGCCCCCATCCCATGAGGCTCTGCAGGAACACTTTTTTTAAATGGCAAAAAGCTGCACACCCTTCAACATGTAACAACTAATTGTAATCCTTTTAAATATAAGAGGAAAATTTTGCTAGTATTACATTATTTGTATTCTTATGCAGCTCCTAAAGAACAACATCTAGGTGGTCATATTTTTATTAAGTAATTAAATATAAAAAGCAAAAAAGTGGAAACAACCATATTAAAAGCTAAATTTGTGATTAGCCTAGTCAATAACGACATTTTTCTTCTGCAAAGTTCTGAATAAACACTGGGTAATTAAAACTTTCAATATTTCTACAAGTTGAGAGAATGGTCTTAATGATGTTTTACATTGGAGCAGGGTTAGGGGGCAGTCAGGCAGAAAGGAGTAACACCTCCTATAAACACAGGGTAATATGGAATGTTTAGTTATATTCATATGTTCATCAATAAGGACACCCATATTTCACATACTTTATGAAAGTCAGTCAATACATTATGTTTCTCCTCTTTGAAACTCAATACAATGATGAGTTTAAAATCCATGATTTACCTTCAAGAATATTTCAAATTAAATTATTCTTTTATTGTACCCTTAAGTGCTGGGATCTAAATTCTGGGCCTCCCACAACTGCTAAATAAAAGCTCTACTGATGAAGTATGTCCTGCCCCAAAATTTAGCTTTTGTAAAAGACAGAAACTAATTATATTATAAGAAATATATTTAATCTACAACAATGAAAAACAAACATGAGAAAATTCAAATTATGAAAAATGTGTTACAGATATTACAGGAAAATCTACACTTAACATATACATACATCAGTATTATCAAACTGGAATTTAATATGTCATCACAATCTTTGTACAATTAAGACTATTCACAAATATATCACTTTACATTTGGGGGTAAAAATTTTTTAGTCAACTGATTTTTGGTTGTCAGTTTCTTCCCTGGTATTCCAGTTACCATTTCTTCATTTTCCTTAGGTAACCCTGAAACTCAAGAGATACACCCAGAAGTGCTTAGGGAGGTCCTGGAAGTATTTGGTTCTGTAGTGCTGACCACCAGAATGACTCACTGGCTCAGGGGGGAGGTGTTGCCAAAGATCCAAGGGGAAAAATGCAGGGCTTTGTACATGTGGAAGTATACACTCTACTACTTTAAATACTTTCTTATTCCCCTCTTCTCATATTCTTTTTTTTAACATTTTTTATTTTATAAGTTAGTTCACAATATTTTATTACATTTAATATTCAAATACCAATCCCAATTTTAATATTTAAACACCAATCGCACCAACATTACACCTTCCCACCACCAAATTTGGGATGTTTCCATCCCAAGCTACAATCTCTGTCACAAAACACAACTGAAATAATATATTTTGTATTGTCTGTTATGTAGAACTGCTGAACATGCTTAAAAATGTGTTCATATAGAAAATAGTGTGAATATTGTTCTATTTTGGCAGGAACCATTAAGACATTCTTTTAGGATATCACTAACATTCTTTTAAAGTTTGGTTGATGTGAGCTTCTGTGTATATATCTGAAAATATGCATGTATATATATATGTATATATATATATTTCCCTCTATATTTATTAGTAGCCTCTTCAGATTAGTTGCCTACTATCTGAACCCCGTAAAATGTGCTTTGGTAATTACAGAGGATGAGTAATGGTAATGTCTTATGATGTGTTGTGTGGCCGCAAAAGTGGCTGATCCCTCCTCTAGGAATATGTTCACTCGTGGGAGGCTTGGACTGAGCATGTGTGGATTGGCCTTGAGCATTGTGGCGTTTGGATTGTGGAGGTCTTTGGCTCCTGGGACTGAGTCTCTTGGGGCAGAGAGTGCTCTTACTCACCCCCTCTGGGGTGTCCCAAGTGAAAACAGCCTGGCGAGGAGTCCAGTGGCATGGTTATGGGGGACCCTTCGGGGAGAAGTAGCTGTGTGATATGGATGGTGGCCGGTGATGAGATTATCTGGCCTACATAGTATTTTCACAGTGTTATGTTATATATGCTAAGAAAGCTTTTTTTCAGAAAAATTCCATTCAGAAAAACTCCATTTACTTATAAGTAATCTCCCAGGAATTTATCACTATAACAAATATAGGTCAGGGTCAGGTGAATGAGACCAGTTGTAGTTACTGGTTTCCTAACGGGAAGTTAAGTGATTAAGTGATTAAGTGAACAAATATAGGTAAAGGTAAAGGTAAAGGCCCTCCTGTTGATCGTCGATTTGCTCGAGCGGGCCCAGTAACGTCTCCATTGGAGACTTTGTTGTTACTGTGTTTGGCATATCGAATACTCTCGGTAGCTTGCCGGGCTCTCCGAGAGGGGCGGAGGAATCGAACTCGGGTCGGACATGTTGGCCGCTTGTAAGGCGAACACCCTACCACTGTGCTATACAGATATAATTTTTATTTATAAGCATATTTATAATTTCATATAAAATATCAATGGAAAAGTGAGTAAAAATGATGATACATTTCTCAACTTTAATACATGTTTAATTAGTAATATATTTTAATCTCCCCATATAATCTTATAGAGAAGTTTTCAATGAAATGATTTCAAAGAAACATGAGTCTGTGATTTAATATATGTTTTTAAGATAATTTACAATAAAATAAAAAGGAAATTTGAAAAAGAGAGCAAGAAATCATGTGTAATACGTTTGTCTAAAATTACACATAGCCTTAAGGAGATTCATATATGGAAGAATATATCAACACTAGTTAAGCAAGATTTTAAGAAATTACAATTCACTTTTCTCCAAACCACGCTCATGTTTCTTCTTTTACTATTTTTTTAAAATTTTCTTTTCTCTGGGGCTATTTCTCTGGGTGATTATTTCATTTAAATATTTTGTCTTCAAAATGTGTAAGATCCAGAGCCGTGGGGTTTGGGGAACTGGGATATGTTAAGTGATCCAATGGTGTTCCAGGACAATATGGTGAAACTTAACAACAGAAGAGCACTTAAAGGAGGGTATCGAAGAAGGAGGCACCACTCAGGTCCATCAGTGCTAGTAGACACTGGAACTATCTTGCGGAGCCCAAGAGATTCAAAGTAACACAAAATTGCCTTTCAGGGGACATGGGTGCTGCCTTTTGTCAACATATTATCATTCCACTTTTCAGATTATGGGCACGTGTGTGTGTGTGTGTGTGTGTGTGTGTGTGTGTGTGTGTTCTGTTTTGAGGGCTACACCAGTAGGTATGTATCTCATATAGTATTGTTTTATGCATATTTACTGATCAAATATTATTTTAGTATTTAATTCATCTGTTTTTATATGGTATTATATCTTTTTTATATGGCAATATAATTAAATATGGTAATATAATTAAAAGAATATTTATTAAAAACATGACAAAGTTAGAGCACCTACAACATGAACAATTTGCTGATGATATTGCAACACTGTTCTTCTGTCAAGTTTACTCTCTCTGTCCTAACTTCTTGAAATCGTCCTATTCTCCATGGTACCAATGAAAAACTGTGATGAGATCTGATTGCATATCTTGTGGGCTATAAAAAAAATGACATGTGGGGAAAATTACAGCTGGCAGTAGTACAGAGAAGGTGTTAATCTCCTTCCTGAAATAGGCTACACCTGTGGCAATTCCCAGCCATTTCAAGGAAGAATCCTCCCCATTTCAGAAATTGCCTAAAACCCCTTGTCTTTCCTAGCACCCACTCAAGGTCAGAACTTTGAGTCATTCATTGCAGCGTCCCTTCCTCAGAGCAACTTTAAAAAGGCTGCTCATTCTTGATCTGACAAACCATCAAACATCCCCGGCAAGTAAGGTAAGTGGGAGTTGATACAAGATGCTCTCAGAGTTAGGAATTATTCTCAGATTCCAGAGGAAGGGTGGAAAAAATTCCTATTCCCAAGAGGACACAAATGCTGTCAGACTCAGCAGTTGTCAACCTGAGAGGACTCATGGGTAGAATATCAAAATATCAAATCAGTTCTGTCACCATTCTGGGAGATACAAGTTAGACAGGTCAACTTACTCCTGAGAATTAAACAGAGGAGATCGGGAGATGGAGCAGTGGCTCCTCTGCTAGCCATCTGCCTGACCCAACTTCCATCCCTGCCTCTGACAGCCTCTTCCAGTGAGACAAGATGCTGCCTCCCATGGTCACTGTTGCTTGGCTGGTGCTCTCCTGCCTGGTGCTCCAAGCCCAGGTGAAAGGTAAGAGTTCCCACATCCAGCCCCTGTGTTGTGGTATAATCTGATCTAGAAGCTCAATTTGGGCATTTTATAAAGTCCAAGTGACATAGTAGAATATATGATTTCATAGAGAATTTTTCTGGCCACACTTGAAAGCATTCCAAAACGCTGATGGATTGTCATGGTAGACTATTCCAAGTACCACACTTATGCATATCCTCTTTGTTCCGTTTCCAACAAAATATCCATTCTTCTTTTTCACTACAACACTCCTTTATATTTTCTATTTCAGGTGAAGACCTGCAGAATGAAGAGCTGTCTCCATGAGCTAGGTGCGTGCCCCAGAGGCTTTAAGGCTTATGGCAACCACTGTTATGCTTTTTCTTAAGATAGCAAAATCCTTTATGGATGCAGATGTGAGTAGCTTTATTTGCAACTGGGATGTATATTTGTGTGTGTGTGTGTGTGTGTGTGTGTGTGTGTGTGTGTGTTTGGTGGGGGGCTTAGACAATGGAGTTCAGGGGAGATTACATTTTATTGTGACATACTAGGTAGAATGATAAACACATAAACAGTATACCTGCTCTTGCTTATCTTATTCCACTTCTTAATTCCCAGAGTTAATGCAAGCTTTTTCTCAATCTCTTCCTTTGTTTCATAGTCCGAATGCCAGAAACGTCGCAATGGACACCTTGTGTCTGTGCTCACTGAGTCTGAGGGCTACTTCGTGGGCACCCTCATCAAGAATGCTGGCACAACATACTCTTCTGTCTGGATTGGTTTCCATGACTCCACAGAGGTGATATTGCATCTTCTATACTCAGTTAACTTTACAGCTACATTTGCCATCCTGAGTCACCCGATCTCCTTAGTCTGTCAAATAATTAGATCAGACAACCCTGAAATTCAGAGTAATCAAATGTGCTTCTGTAAAATTGAGCCCTGAGCCCCTTTGAAGTTTTGCATTGTTTGGTGTGGCCTCATCTCTAGCTGTCATCAATGCCCCCTTTCAAACAATATGTACTAAGACTTCCTAGGTCAGTTTTGTGCTCTGGCCAGTGATGGTGCCTAAGATGTGCCAGTTGTTGATAAGTGAAGGGTGAGTACACTGTCCACTACAGAATCTATATGACCTTTGAGGCCCAGAGGTACATAGCCTGTATTGCACCAATTGTTTAGCTAAACAATCCTTCCTACTCTCACTGGTATTAGTGACTTAGACTCCTACACACTAGATCAAAAACTTAGATTTAATTTTCAGAGTTCCTTCCCAGATCACCTCCACAAACAAACAGATTCTTTGATGCTGGGTGTCACTCAGGGATTACAGTGAAGATGCTGCCAGAGCATCCCAGGGGAAATTGAGACTCAGGTTTCCATCTGTCTTGTCTTCACAGAGTCAACCCCAGGCAGGTGGATGGGAGTGGATTAATGGTGATCTGCTGAACTACGATGCCTGGTTGAAAGGACTCCCTAACAATGCCGGGTACTGCGGGGCTGTTGTTAGCAGCACAGGTAAGAACAAGACAAATTTCTATGTGAAGATCTGTTCCACTTCTGGCATATCCCCAAAAAAGTTTTTAAGCCTGACCTTTTGGAGGGGGGTAAATTTCCATATTCATGACTGTTTTCCCTTTCCTAGCCTCTCTCAGCTCTCTTTTTCTTGAGCCCCTTTTTCTTGGAGCAGGAGTATTACACAAGCAAGGAGGAAGGGATATTGACCCTTATTATGGTGCCCCTGTCTCAGGTCACAGCATTCAATAGTCCACTCATTTCTCCTCTTCTTGTCTCTCTAGGCTATGAAAAATGGCAAAATTTTAGCTGTAAGACTATGCTGCCCTACGTCTGCAAGTTTGAGAGCTAAATCTGCTCAGAAATCTACAGCTGAATCAACTGTAGCAGCTCCTCAAGGCTATTCTTCCAGTCTTTTACTATATTCTGGAACCAAATCTCCACCCAATTTTAACCCTGCACAATATATCCTCTATATGTCCTCCCCAGTCTAACCAAAAACCTCTCTTTTATGCTTAAAGCCTGGTTTGTCAAATAATGATAATAAATATTTCTATCCACATGATGTCTTTTGAGTTCTTTTCTCAGACTGAGAAATAATTGTTCATGAGAGAAATCTACTTCTTCCATCACCACCTTCCTAGGAGAATCCTAATTGTAAATTCAGTTCCCACTGAGGTGGTCCAACAACTGTAGCACTGTAGCATTGTCCTCCCATTGTTCATAGATTTGCTGGAGAAGGCACCAGTAACATCTCACAAAAAATTGTGAGACTTGTTGCTACTGCTTTTGGCATATCAAATATGTCATGGGTGGCTTGCCAGAGTCTGCCTTGCTAGCTGGATATCCTCAGTAGCTTGCCTGGGTCTCAGAAAGGGATGTAGAAATCAATTCCCGGTTTGGCCCTGTGCAAGGCAAATGCCCTATGGGCTCTGCTTTTGCCCCAGCCCTGGTTCAGCAACATACCCCTAATAGATGCTTGACTTAAGTCCTAGTCTGTGAAGTCTGAAAGGCTGAGTCTCACTTTGCAAGTCCACTCAGTTGTGCTGTCTCTGCTCACACAGTAAGCTATAACAGGACACTCTAGATTCCCACCCTCCCAGCCCCATATTTGCTCCAAGTGGCTTTGCTTCCCACCTACCATAAAGAACCAATCTATAGTAAGCAGAAACTTCTGCCTAAGCATCCTAGAGATACTCACAAGTAATGAATCCCCCAAGGCTGTGCTATGTGCGACTCTCACTTCAGCTGTGTCCCTCTTAGGACTGTACCATTGTTCAGTTCATTGACTTGCCTACATAGTTTGGCTGCCTGTTAATTTCTTTAACCACCTGTAGTGCAGACCTGGGTGGGCCTTGGTTTCTACACCTGTTTTACTCTCTTCTCTGACACATGAGTTTGTGAAATATTTAGGTCCTATTTACATAAGTATGATGTACTGCTGTTGTTCATACTACCCTGTCACATACTGTGCTGATGTTAGCACTCTTTCACTCAGTCATCCTAAAGGCTGATATTTATAGGATAATAAGTCTGAATTTACACATTCAGTAACAATCCATTTATTTAAATCCATGAAAGAAATTAACAGGAAGCCAAACAATGTAGGCGAGTCAATGAAAAGAAAGCCAGTCCAGTCTTCAAATGGGCACAGCTGAGGACTCCAGCTAGAGTAGCACATAGCACAGCCCTGGGGATTCATTAATTGTGTGTGTCTCTGGGCTGCTTAGGCAGAAGTTTCTGCTTACTGTAGATCAATTCTTTTGGGAGGTGGGAAGCAAAGAGACTTGGAGCAAATCTAGATGAGCCACAATGAACCCGGGGTGGCGCGGGGAAGGGGGCAGTTAGAGTGTCCCAGTATTGCTGATAGTGTGAGCAGAGACTGCACAGCTAAGTGTGCTTGCAGGGTGATACTCAGCCTGTCAGGCTTCAGAATCCAGAACTTATACCAAATATCTTTGCAGGGGTATGTTGTTGGACCACCTAAGTGGGAATTTTACATTTGGCATTTTTCTAGGGAACTGAATGAAGGTGGATGAAGGAAGAACTAGATTTCTCTTAGGCACAGTTATTCCTTAGTGATGGTCTGAGAACAGAACTCAAAAGATGTCATTCATATGAATAGAAGTATTTATTATCATTCTTTGACAAACCAGGCTTTCAGCATACAAGAAAGGCTTATAGTGAGACTGAGGAGGAGGGGGAGGAGATGTGGGTTCCAGGTAAAGAAGGGTTAGGGATTTCCTTGAAGGCTACATCTTTAGACCAGAAGAATATCCAGGAAGAGCTGAATGTTAATTCAGCATGTAGATTTCTGACATGATCTAGTCTCTAACTTGGAGACATCGGGTAAGCGATTTATTTGTACAGTCATGGTCTTGCCAGTATTTTTGTAGCCTCAAGATAGGAAGAGGAGAAATGAGTGGCATGTATAAAGCTGTGAAGCTGATATACAGGCAGCAGGTGCATGGTCAAAGTCCCTCCCTCCTTTTTTTTTTTTTTTATCAGATTTCTGCTTCAAGAAAAAGTGGTTCAATGAAAAGAGAGCTGAGAGAGGCTGGGAAAAGGCAAATGGACCATGAATTTGGAAATTTTCCCTAAAGGTCAAGCTTAGAAATTGGTTTTTAGGAGATGCATAGATGAGAAGAGTTCTGAAAATAGAAGCTTGCTTTATTTTTACCTAATCTGTAGGAAATGGCCCCACAATAGCCTGAACCGGTTGGGACACCATACTCCCAGGCAACATATTTCAGCAAATCCCTGCTAGTCCACTCCCATGCAACTGGACTTTGACCCCATGACAGACAGGACAGACGGGACCCCTGCGTTGCACTTGTCCCTGGGATCCTCTGGGCGACATCTTCACTGGAATCCATGAGTGACACCCAGCATCAGAGTATCTGTTTGGCTCTTCGTGGAGGTGAGCTAGGAAGTAACTCTTGAAATTCCCTCTTGTTGGAATATAGCTCCAAATATTTTAGGCTTGACATTGGTTTGCCCTTTCCCCCTTGCCACAAGAAACTCAGGTTTATTACAGTGCCCCTGAGACACTTCCATTTCATTGTGTTTATTTGTAAACTCTTCTCTATGCTCTCCTCCCCACCCAGTTAATCAGCTTTTCCCCTAATCAGTATCTGTTACTTTGTAAGGTCAAATCCTTCTAGGACACTGAAATTGTATTGTAAGTTAATAATGTCTTTCTTCTCTCCTTATGTCTTTTGAATAGTTTACTTTATATTAATGTCCTTTTTGTATAGATGCAGGAAGACTGTTAATATTATGATTTTGTAGTTTAGGATTTAATTGGCTTTGAATATTATTCACTCCCAGGCATCTGCTTTATCAACTTAAGCCTCAGTTGCCCTTAGTTCCTAGCACCCCAAAGGCAGGGTCCCGATGAGGAACTGGATGGACCCAGGGCAAGCTACCCTGGCATCGAAATGGGCCAGGCCAAAGCGCCACAATTCTTAACTATAAGTTAAGAGCTTAATCATAGACAAATGCTGTCATGATCCAAAAGTAACGACGAGACTAGGACCCTGCTAAGGATAGGAAAGACTATCTGTCCTGAGCACTGTAGTCTGAGATTGAGATGGCCCTCGGAGAGCAATTCTGTAAGTTTAAGGTACTTCTTACTGTCACTGTCACTGTCCTCCCGTTGTTCATCGATTTGCTTGAGCAAGCCCAGTAACGTCTCCATTGGAGATTTTTACTGTATCCACACAAAATTATTTATATTATGTTTGCTTATATGTTTGTTGGGCAAGGAGAGGAGAAACAAACCCATGGGATTCCGCTCTTGGGTGGGTCGAACTCCAGAGACGGTATCTGTCTTAGAAGAAGTACCCCCTGAGGGAAAGAACTCTACTCCTATTGATTGTGACCACACCTATGTGTAAGCCCCAACCCCTCATGTAGGGGGATTTAACTAGGTTATAAGAGGGGGCTGGGGAATCAAGATCCAGAGTCCAGAAGAAGGAGGAGAAAGGGGATCCAGATTCCAGAGCCAGAAGGAGAATGAAGGGGAATTGAGGAGGAGAATGAAGTAAAATGGGGGAGGAAGAAGTAGGAGGAGAGTCAGAGGAGAATGAAGATTGGAATGGAATGGAATGGAATAAACTGAAACTGACACCAACCAGCCTGGCTCGCATTTCCTTGTATAGATGCCTGCCCATTGCCATCAACCTCCCTGGGGTTGGGGAAGCTTCCCAAGATTACGAGCACCAGCGGTGGGAGAGATAGACTGCTGCTGTCTTTTAATGTAAATTGTACTTACCATTCTACCTAGTGTGTTCCAATAAAATGAAAGTTCCCCTGAATTCCACTGTCTAAACTGCCCCCCACCCACAAAGCGCCCCCCCCCCACATCCCAGTTGGAAATACAGTTAATCACAGCCACATCTAGCCAGGATTTTGGTGAGATATAAAAGACATATAGCAGTTGTTATAAACGAATGAGTTTTGGGGACACCTGATTTGTGGAGACAGCTCTTCATTCTGCAGGTTTTCCCCTAACATAGAAAAATATAAAGGAGTGTTGTAGTGAAGAAGAAGAATGGGCATTTTGTTGGAAAAGACACCTAGGGGATATAGCAGTACTTAGAATAGTGAAATATGACAATCCCTCAGTATTCCCAACACCTCCAGAATGCTTTCAAGTGTCACTAGAAACATTAGATGAGGAATCATCTATTCCCCTATTTAACTTGGATTTTATAAGATGCCCAAATTCTGCTCCTGGATCTGAGTATTAGATGACACAGGGGATGGATGTGGGAATGCTTATCTGTCACCTAGGCTTGGAGCACCAGGCAGGAGAGCACAGCCAAGCAACAGTGGCCATGGGAGGCAGCATCTTTTCTCACTAAATGAGGCTGTCAGTGGCAGGAATAGAAGTTTGGTCATGCAGAAGGATAGCAGAGAATCCACTGTTCCATCTTCATGTTTTATTTGTCTAATTCCCAGATGGGCTAGAGCGATAGCACAGTGGTAGGGCATTTGCCTTGCACGCAGCCAACATGGCCGACCCAAGTTCGATTCCTCCGCCCCTCTCTGAGAGCCTGGCAAGCTACCCAGAGTATCTTGCCTACACGGCAGAGCCTGGCAAGCTACCCATGATGTATTCGATATGCCAAACACAGTAACAACAAAGTCTCCAATGGAGACGTTTCTGGGCCTGCTCGAGCAAATGGATGAACACGGGGAGGACAGTGACAGTGACAATTCCCAGATGATTGAGAGCTCCCAGTATGCTGACAGAACAGATTTGATATTCTGAGTATTCTATCCAGGAGGCCTTTCGGATTTATCACTGCCGAGCTTGATAGCACTTGTGTCCTCTCAGGAATGGGAATCTTTTCTATCTTGCTCTAATGTCTTGCA